TACAACACGTTTTCTTTTCGATGACATATCGGTAATATTAAAAGTAAATACTGTATTTAAATCGTGATCAAATTTTCAAGAAACAAACGTTCGTATTGAATTTGTACTACTACTGACCAGCGCTAACAGACTACCTATTGTTTAAAAGGCCCGCCGGTGGCGCAAGAAGACGGATTTTATAAAATAAAAAGCAGTTGAAACTGTATTTTTATGAATAAAAGTTTGACAAACTAACATTTTTTGACGAGTAAAATTTTTTCATCGCATTCACGGCTTTTAAGTAATGCATAAACCTTCAAGGCCCTTCGGACCGCGTGACATAGGAGGTGGCCCACATCGTCCATGCCTAACGCCGCCCTTGATCATAGAAATGATGTAATTTGAATATAAATTATTTATAAATACGTATGTCAAATTATATTTTTATTACGACACAAAATATATTTAAGAGTTTATGATCACTGTGCCGGGTGAGACGTTGAAACAACAAGTTATGCATTCCATCACGTATAGTATATAAACAGTATCGTAATTCGCCAAGTGCAAATCAGCAAATTCGTAAAATTTTTGTTTATTTTGAACGATCCAGATAATAGAGGTTCTACTGTACTTGTATTTTTCCATAAATCCGATCATTTAGGTGGGCGACACCAATATGTTTAAATATATCATATATGTTTTCGTCCATCCAATATGGATCTGAATATTCTAGAAATTAATAAGTTTTTTATAGCTAACTAAAACAGATATTATATATTTAAAAAATAATTACCTTTTTTTTTAATGTTATCCGTTTATCATCATCCGTTTTATATTGGAATTTTTTTTCATTGCTTAAATTTTCTGGAATTATAACAGGGAACCATGTTTCCTCAATCATTTTTAAATCATTATAACTCCCCTCCTCTGTCATTAAAAACGTTTTCACTTCTAACGTCGACTTCATTTTGATGGAGATATAAGAAAAAAGAAGAAATAAAAGTATTTATATTGTATGATTTTCTAGGTCAATGATTTTTTTAAGGGGAGCTATTCGATTACATTCATAAACATTGTCGATATCCTCCCATATCCATTCAGGATCGAAATATTCTGGAAATTATTAAGATATTTAAAAAATAATAAGTTTTACTAAAATATAAAAAAGGATAGTTACCTTGTTTTTTTTAACATAATCCGCTCATTGTTTTCATTGTGCACAATAGGAAGTTTGATCGGAACCCATTTTTCCTCTATTATTTTTACACTTTTCATTTTTAAACGATATTTAATTACATTCTGTATTTCAATAATACCATTCATTTTTGTTGAAGATAGAAGGCAAACTGTAAAATATGTAGAAATGAAAATATTTATATTGTATGTTTTAAATAAGAAAATTATTAATTTTTTCATAGTTGTTCATCTTTTTTACAGATTCACAATCACTATTTGTAATTGATAACCCATTCACAACTAAAAAAATAAAATTGGCAAAAATTGATGATGCAACAACAGAGATGATGAAAAAAATATGATTTAATTATTTCAAAAGACGAATCAATCCCACCATACTCTGTGTATATATCCCATGGATATAATTTAGAAATCAAAGAATTTCGCCAACAATATTATATTTGCCTTGCTAAAACCAGTGCAAAAGGAGAAATTCGAAACGGATTCAATATTCCAGTGAAAGAAATACATTTTTTTTTTCTCCAGGCCCCAANTAATTATTAAGATATTTAAAAAATAATAAGTTTTACTAAAATATAAAAAAAGATAGTTACCTTGTTTTTTTTAACATAATCCGCTCATTGTTTTCATTGTGCACAATAGGAAGTTTGATCGGAACCCATTTTTCCTCTATTATTTTTACACTTTTCATTTTTAAACGATATTTAATTACATTCTGTATTTCAATAATCCCATTCATTTTTGTTGAAGATAGAAGGCAAACTGTAAAATATGTAGAAATGAAAATATTTATATTGTATGTTTTAAATAAGAAAATTATTAATTTTTTCATAGTTGTTCATCTTTTTTACAGATTCACAATCACTATTTGTAATTGATAACCCATTCACAACTAAAAAAATAAAATTGGCAAAAATTGATGATGCAACAACAGAGATGATGAAAAAAATATGATTTAATTATTTCAAAAGACGAATCAATCCCACCATACTCTGTGTATATATCCCATGGATATAATTTAGAAATCAAAGAATTTCGCCAACAATATTATATTTGCCTTGCTAAAACCAGTGCAAAAGGAGAAATTCGAAACGGATTCAATATTCCAGTGAAAGAAATACATTTTTTTTTTTCTCCAGGCCTTAAATGCTGTCCGAAAATATTTGGAAGCTTACATGTAAGTAAATTCTTACAATTTTGTAACAAAAAACTCTCTGATTCTTTTCAAAGAAAAATATGAAGACAAAACATTGCCTTTTGCTAGACAGTTGGAAAATCGCTATTATCTGTTCTGACTAAATATATTTCGCTATTTTGTCAAGTAAGTTTATAAGAAATATAATATTTCTGGAGAATAATAGTAATTGTTTTATTTCACATTTATATAAAAAACCCATTATATTTATCTAATGTTTTTTATTGTCAGAATGTCAGATTTCGATTTTGAGTTTGAAGAACTGTCTGATAGTGATTCAGACAGCTATATCAGCATTAGCCAGGATGTCGTCGTCAGACAACAGCGACAATAGAGATGGCCCCTCTGCCAGAAACTGGATTGAATTAAATCTAGCTAGTTCTCCTCCACGATTTCCTTTTCGGGGAAGTCCAGGGTGTAAATTTACCCTTACATATGTATTTGACCCATTAGCATACTTCTTGCTATTTTTTGACTTGCAGCTTATAAATCTTATTGTGACAGTAACTTCTCGATGCAACAGGCATGGTCATCTAGGGATCAGTGGTGTAAGGAACCAAGTCTGAGCTTTATTTTTATTTTACTTTTATTTTGCTTTCATTATATTTTTGTTTGGGGCTTATGTTTAGTTAAGACGAAGGTTTCCTCACCATTCACCTTAGTAACTTAAAAATAGAAGAAAAACCAACTCACCGACGAAAGAAAAGCGCCGTAGAAAAACTCGCGCACACTTGCGCTTCCCAAGCGGAAAAAGTAAGTCCGCACCGACGAAAAGGGGGGGAGACCCCACAACCCAGTTAGGAAACGCTAAACCTTAAAAGAATAAAGCATCCCGATAATTGTTGAAAAAGAATAATGTAAAAGGTTAGCGAAGTATTGTCGGAAAATAATCTGCCAGATAAACAAGAAAAATTTAATGTTAAAGATAAGTATGTAAATGAGGAGAGTGAGCTCATTCAGAATTGTGACGTCACCTCACACTATAAAGCCTCTAACTCAAGTGAAAACGAACGAGGTGAATTCCTGATAGCAACGAGCTTATAGCAGTGAACGAGAGAGAGGTGTCCGATAGGATTTTGAAGTTATTCGATTTGTGGATCGACGATTATAGAAAGTCTTGAGAGTTTGAGGAAATAGGTTCCTAGTATATTGAGGTGACGATTAGGATCTTTAATTTATAAGAATTATTGTTTATAAGTTAATTCTTTGATTTTGTCGAATTCCAAAGGGGAATAGAATTAAGTTAGAAATAGATTGATTTGAGTTTGTCGGATTGATTCTTGTTGATTTCATTGAATAAATTATTGTTTGATTTTTACTAAATACTGTATAGAATTTATTAATAGAAGTTTAATTAAATATTTGATTTTGTTATTGACAAACTTTGTCATTATTTAATTCGGTGCACGCTTAAAGTCCAGGCCTGGCACACTAACGCGAATCCGCGTAAAGTACCCGTTAGGGAACGGCTATTTCCGGCACACAGTAGTGTCGATAATCGTTGGAAAGTCGGAAAAATAATATAGTACTTTACAGTGGGAGCCAGTAACAGTCGGAGAAATATACATATTTCTAACAATTTGTATATTACAAGGCCTGTTATACAAACCATCTGAGAGAATGTACTGGTCCAGGTATCTTCTAAACACCCCAATTTTTGGAAAACTGATGACAAAGAAAAGATACTCGGAAATAAAAAAAAAATTGCATTTTGCAGACAGTTAAACTTTTAATGTGGAAACACAAGAGAATCCTAAACTTTGGAAAATTTGGCCAGAAGTAAAAGATCTTAATTTAAAATTCTCCCGCTTTTATACCCCCAAACAAAACATCAGCATTGATGAGAGCCTGCTATTGTTCAAAGGCCATCTTTCCTGGAGGCAGTAGATTCCTCAGAAACAGTCTTGTTACATGGTAAAATTTACACAGGAAAATGCACTTGCCTAAATCAAAAGTATGGAAATATGTAGTTTACATCTCAAATCGTATTAACGTTAATGGACCCATTGTTAGACAAGGGATACTGTCTAACTACGGATAATTATTATACTTCCCCACATTTAGCAGATTGTTGTGGAACAGTACACACAACAAGGAAAGATGTTCCAAAGGTACTACATCAAAAAAAATTGAAAAAAGGAGAGACTATGGCAATGCAGGGAGGTAGAGTGATGATTCAAAAATGTCACGATAGGAGAACAGTCACTTTCCTCTCTACATTCCACATTCCAACAATTGTAAGTAAGGAAATACATACTGGTAGTGTAGTAATGAAGTCACATGTTGTTGACCTTTTTGATCAGCATCTCCATGATTATACTGTGGCAAGAAATACTACAAAAAAAATATTTTTTCAATTATTGGACATTTCTCTGTATAATGCTTATGTTTTGTATAAAAAAAATGGTGGAGAGAAAACGAATCTGTCATTTAGAATGACCCTCATAGAACGTCTTATAACAATGTACCACACCAAAACAATGGCAAATAGCGATAATTATCAGATTCGATTAAAGAATATTGCGTTAAAAAGTAAACAAAATAGAAATTAGTCCTAGCATCTTAATTGGAATGGAAAAAGCATTAGAAAATTCTGTAATTAAAATGCCTTATTGACGACTCAATATTAAAGTGTTTATTAAAGTGTTTACACTAAGTAAAGGTATTTTGGGTTCAAATATTTCAAATGCAATAATTGGTCAAATCCCAAAAAGAATTATAATCAGATTAGTACGTAATAATGCATGTAATGGACAGATCGATTTAAATCCTTTCAATTTTGAAAATTTCAATTTAAATTATATTTCTGTTATAAAGGATTCAATTTTAATTCTTCCTAATCCTTATACTCCCGATTTCGATGAAAAAAGCTACACTCGAAGTTATGCAACATTATTCGAAGAGATAGGGGAATTCCCTATGGAAAATACTCTATATCGTATTCCGACTACGCGCAAGGATACATGTTTCACGTCTTTGATTTAACTCTGGATAAGGCAGTGCCTGAGAATCACACAAGTGTATTAACACAAGGAAACGTTTCTATAAACTTAAAGTTCAAAAGATCTTTACCAGAGACGGTTAACGTGGTGTGCTTTTTAGAGTATCGTAATACAATAGAAAATCGATCGATCTCGGAATATTTACATCGACTACTAAATGATGGATACGATTACCTTATGGAAACAAGCATTAGGAGATGTCGAAATTAGCAAGACATTTGGAGGCGTCTATCCGTCAAATTTATTACCCGAAAAAATTGAAAAGAAGAAAGGATTTATAGTTAATACCGATAACAGTCTAAAGCCGGGACAACATTGGATAGCGATATATCTTCAAGATTTGACGTGTTTTTACTTCGACTCGTACAGATTACCTCCTAAAAACCGATTGATTATAAAATTTATTCGTCGGAATTCGAATCATTTACACTGGAACCAATTGAGTTTGCGAGGACCATATAGTTTTACGTGCAGATACTTTTGTCTATATTTTCTCTATAAAATACCGAGAAATCAAGATATGCGAATATTACAACCTACTACTAAATTATTCAATGATACTTTTGTAATGAGATTTATACACAATAATTTCTGTTTGGGTAAATTACCATCTAATATAAAAATTAAATGTAATCAATGTAGCAATAGTTTACTCAAATAAAAGTCTATTTTTAAAAAACTAAAAAGTGTGTTTATTGAACCTGGGAAAAAAAACATTAAATTTAACCGCACATATCCGAAAACCATAGAAATATTTTTACTCACCATTTTTTTCTTTAATCTAACGCTCCTACCATGTCCATTCCTAAAAAATAATATTAAATCGTTTAAGAAAAACTAAACAAATATATTTAAAATTTATAAATTTTTTGAAAAAAGATCCTTACCATCTACATAGGTGTATAAGCTTAAATCCGCTGTTTTTTAGTCAGAAAAACACACGTTTTTTTCTTAGAAAGCAAAAACAAATTTATTCAAAGTACTTTCCCTCACTAGTGACACATTTGTTCCATCTCTCGGGCAATGTGTGGATACCATGCCAAAAAAATTTCTTCTCTTTCGAGGCAAACCACTCATCAAGCCATTTTCGGACGTCTTCGTAAGAATCGAAGTGCCGCTCAGCAAGCGCGTGGCCCATCGATGAAAAGAGGTGATAGTCGGAAGGGGCCAGGTCTGGTGAATAAGCGGGATGGGGTAGCACCTCCCAGTTGAGTGTCTCCAAGTAGTTTCGGACCAATGTTGACACATGCGATGGTGCATTGTCGTGGAGGAAAATCAGCTTGTCGTGTCTTTGCTGATAATCCGGCCTTTTTTCACGCAGAGCACAGTGCAATTTGATCAGTTGTTGGTGGTAGCGGTGAGCATTGACAGTTTCACCAGGTTTCAACAGCTCATAGTAGACAATACCCTGCTGATCCCACCAAACGCACAGCATTGTCTTCCGTCCAAAGCGATTTGGTCTTGGGAAAGATGTTGATGGTTTGCCTGGATCAACCCACGATTTCTTGCGTTTAGGATTCTCAAAATATATCCATTTCTCATCGCCAGTTACAATCCGATGCAGAAACGACTTTCTTTTTTGTCTGGCGAGCAAGATTTCGCATGTGTTTTGGCGTCGCTCCATCTGCCTATCGTTCAATTCATGCGGCACCCATTTTCCAATCTTCTGAATCTTCCCCATGGCACATAGACGCATGGAAATGGCTGTTTGAGTAACACCTAATTGCTCGGCAAGCATTTTTTGTGATTGGGTATTGTCCTCATCCAAAAGAGCCTGCAGTTGATGGTCCTCAACCTTCCTGGGCTGATTTTCACGCTTTTTGTCACTCAGGTAAAAATTTCCATCTTTGAACCGACGAAACCAATCTCTGCACGTGGTTTCCGATAAAGCTCTGTCTCCATTAGCCTCCACAAGCATTCGATGTGTTTCGGCAGCCGATTTCTTCAAATTAAAGCAGAAAAGCAAAGCTTGCCGCATATGCTCTTTTTCTGGCACAAAAGTACACATGATTACAAAAAAAATATATGTTGTTGTATGAAATATCTGATGATGTGCACTGATTAATGTTGACAGACGTCAAAATCATCAAAAAAACAATATGGCGTCTTCATGGTAACTTAATACGCTCGCTTACGCCATCTATTAGCAAACAGCGGATTTAAGCTTATACACCTGGTAGAAATAAAACAAGGGTTTCCCCTTTATAATGAATTACGCTCCAATTTTTTTCACTTTTTCACAGTAGCGCCAGCGTTTCACTAATCAGTTTATCTTTTTGTTTAAAGAAAGTTTTACTACCCCAAAAAATTTCGTATTCTTTATATTCAAAAATTTATAATTTCGTATAAATATGTTGGTTTTGTGGGAAGAGACCAACATACTTGAATACATCATGTATATTTTCATACATCCAATATGGATGTGGATAATCTAGAAATTAATAAGTTTTTTAAAGCTAGCTAAAACAGATATTATATACAGTAGAACCTCCATTATCCGGATTTTTGATTGTTCCGGATTGTTCAAAATAAAAATTTTACAAATTTGCTGATTTGCACTTGGCTAATTATGACACTGTTTATGTACTGTACATGATGGAATGCATAACTTTTTTTGTTTCAACAACGTCTCACCCAGCACAGTGGTCGTAAGCTCTTAAATATATTTTATGTAGTAATAAAAATATAACTTGACGTACATATTTATAAATAATTTATATTCAAATTACATCATTTCTGTGACCAAGGGCGGCATAAGGCATGGACGACGTGGGCCACCGCCTATGCCTCGCGGTCCGAAGGGCCTCGCGCCTCGAAGGTTTATGCATTACTTAAAAGCCGCGAACGCGACGAAAAAATTTTACTCGTCATAAAACGATAAATAGTTTGTCAAATTTTTATT